TCTCTTTTTCTTCTAAGTGGGGGGAAAAAAATGCCACGTCTTTTTTTTCTCTGATGTCGGTGAGAGGGAAGCCGCAGGGTGATAGAGCTGCTGGCAAATCCATCACGTCTTACAAAGCAGGACATCCTGATATGGCCGCAAGATAAGCCTTGCCGGCACTCAGCAGTTATCTGACCACGTGGAATTGTTTCACGGGCAGGGGAAAGGCCGATTCCACACCGAGAGGCAGAAATGAGACTCCGGATGTTTAGGCTTGTTGAGTGAGGGTGAGAGAGGAAGGCAGCAGGAACATTAAGACCAGAAGAAGAAAGGACAGAGCAGGTGATCGTGGGCCACACAGGTGAGAAAGAGTGTCTGCATGGAGGGAACTCCAGGGAGAGAGCCGTGAATCTGCCTCCTGCTTTCTATCTACAGGGAACGAGTGCTGCCACCTGCTGGTTCTTTCGTTATCTAGAAGCTGTCAAACAGCACAGCAGTCTTTCACCCGAGACTGCCCTCTGCTGGTTAAGCGCTCCATGTTACTCACAATACTACAGGCTTCTCGGAGGCTTGTGTTCATCAGTGGTTTTAGGGTGAATGGGACAGGCTTTGCAAGGGTGTCTGGGTAGCACTTCAGTTAGATCATCAACCCACTGTCAATAACCTGGTTATTGGCAGTTACAAGTTAGTGGTCCTTACTAATGACAACATGGCTATAAACCAAAGTCAGACACTTGTCCTTGATCGATAATGTACTTTTGCACTGTTGTTAACAGCTGTGTGTGGGATTTCCCTCCAGTCCATCATGGGGCAGACACAGAGTCACACACTCACACCAGGGCCAGTTTTCCCAGAAGTCAGTTAACCTACCAGCTTGTGTTTGGGTTGTGGGAGAAACAAAAGCACCCACAGGAAACTCACAGCAACATGGGGAGAACACACAAACTCCACACAGATAGCACCCCAGGTCCAGCACTGAATCCAGGGCCCCAGAACTCCAAACCAGCAGTGCTTACCACTGCGCCACATCCACATCATTGGGTCAGAATGGTGTCCAAACTAGAGGCCATCATGGACAACATCTCCCATCCCCTCTATAACAGGCTTGTGAGGATGAAGAGCACGTTCAGCAATAGGCTAATCCATCCCCGGTGTGACAGGGAGCGCCACAGGAGGTCATTCTTGCCTCCTGCCATAAGACTGTACAACTCATCCACTGTGTGTCTGGGCAGAGGCAACATTAATATTGACCTGTTTTTGGACTAAAAATAAAACTCTCTGCTACATCTGGCTTTCACGTTTGCAATATATTTATATTTATATTTATATTTATATTGTGCAATACAACTTTTTGTGTACTGTTTTGTTTTGTTCTGGTTTGTTCTATGTATGTTCTGGACTGTAAGAAGCTCTTAGTGCACTGATTGTATTGTATATATTGTATTATTGTATCATTTCATTACACTGTGCTGTGTTGACTGTGTTAAGCTGCTGTTGCACTGCAATTTCCCTCACGGGATCAATGAAGTATCTATCTTTTCCCCCTAAAGTAGTTACATCATTGCCTTTTGTCCCCCTTGTGGCCAAATGTGGAATAACAGGCCCAGAACAGCATCGTCTAACAAGTCCTCACTGTGACGGTTCGGTTTGCTGGCTCCCTCATCACCTTCGCCCGACCTTGCCTGTCACCTGACAGGATGTTTTCACGGTGGTGCGAAGAGGCGAGGTGATGAGGGAACCCTAATCCCCACGTGAATTTCCTGATCACCTGAAGCGACTCCTGAGACGCTCTCAACGGAGAAATACAGATTTCCCACGTGGTCTCACATACAGAACATTGTCTGGTGTATTCTTTTTTATCTAGCAGCACTTTGAGGAATAGGAAGTAATACAACTCCACTGTGACATTTTCGAATGGTATTTGTGAAATGTTGATTCTAGCCTTTTTTAATTTACATTCACTTTATTTCATTTACTCTGAATGAGGCTTTACCACACTGTACTGTGCTTTTACCAGGATTTTACTGTCATTTGCTCTTCTATTGCCAAGGTCTATAATCTTTATAAAAATAATGCACAGATTTTGAGAATAACATTCACACACTGGACTTTCAGTATATAATTATAATATTATGCGTGTGGTGTGTTGTTACCAAATTGTTCTTTCAGTTACTAAGATAATAATAATGAATAATTACTTACACTTATATAGCGCTTTTCTGGACACTCCACTCAAAGCGCTTTACAGGTAATGGGGACTCCCCTCCACCACTACCAGCGTGCAGCCCCACCTGGATGATGATCCAGTACTCTCCCCACACACCAGCTCTCAGTGAGGAGGAGAGCAGAGTGATGAAGCCAGTTCATAGAGGGGGATTATTAGGAGCCCAATAATTTAAGATAATGATAACAATGATCATAATGATATAATAATGATTATAAGATAATTTGTGGGAATTAGCATAGATTTAGTTGGAAGTGGTTATTAGTTTGGTACTGGCGTCAGACACTTAAGGATGCACATCAAAAGCTCCTGAGGCTCGTGAGTTCTTGCTTTATTACTCTATTACTTCAAATCCACAGAAAAAAAACTATGCTGGCTCAGTCATTGTTTTCAAATGGTGCACAGCCACGCCTTCGTAATGTCATTTACCTCATTTACCGAAACGGTCGTCTTTGACCTCCAAATATTCCTCCCTGGAGTCTCTATTGATAAATTGCACAAGTCAGCGGATTTCACCGAAACCTGTTTGCCCTTAGCATAAACAATCCTGGCATTATAAAAAGTCAGCTCTTCTGCGATCTTCCCTCTCAGACCACTATGACCTTCTCCAGCGGAGCAAACAGAAGTGAACCCAGCAGCAAACAGCTTTCGAAAGGTAAGCCAAAGCTTTGTCCAGTCCGACAGCGACATGTATTACTGTACATGACACATCCAGTTTACACAGTTTATCGATAACCTGAAACAGATCTACAAAGGCAAACAGAAACTGATGATGTTGGCGTGGGAGAGGTTCGGTTGACGGAATTCTGTCTCTCTTTCTTTTTACTTGAGCCTGCCTTTGTATCCTTTTTAACTTAAAAAAATGAAAATAAATTAATAAAAACAGTAACAGAGCCACACTAGTATTACATGTGTATAGAACTGTTTAGTTCTGTTTTTAGTTCTAAAAAAAGAGAAAATTGTCATGTTGTGGAAGTTTGTGTGTTTTCTTTTATTTGTATGAGAGAGAGGTTCAAGAGGAAAAAGTTTTGGTTTACCCTGTAAACGCCGTACTCAGCAACAGGCAGCTAAGGTGACCTAACAGTCACTCAGAGCACCGAAGCTACGACAAATCACACCTAGTCTGTCACGTCTAGTGGGAAGACACTGGAATTAGAATGAAGCTGGAAGATGGAAGTGTTAATGGGACAAATGGCTTGCAAACGAAGTGTGACTCTTGCGGTTCCGCTCGTGCCCTCGCCGGTTCATCCCGCAACACCTGGGGCGCGAACCCGGGTCTCCGGCGTAACGCAACAGGGAACCAGCCGAGCGAGCTAAAGGAGACCTCCCCCAGCTCAGGCGGCTGAGGTCCCTGCTACGCTCAGGGAGGGCGCTGACATCCCCGTGTCCAAACTAGCACCGCGACAAATAAACAGTTAGCTGAAAGTGTGGTGCTCAGGTCAAGACAGCGAGATTGTCGCTTTCATAGGGTGTAGAAACATTGCAGGAACTGCCTTTGTCGAAGTGGAATGGAGGGGAGTCGCAAGGTGAATTCTTTTTTTGAAAGGGAGACCGGGGTTACAAGCTGGTGAAAACTCTGAATGTCTCGCTCGCCTCCGCATTGCAGTCAAGACAGGATCCGTGGGGCTTTTGTGACACTGTTTGTAATGGCTAGCTGTACAAGACCCTGAAGTTTTGTGTTACCACCTATTATTGCACTGGATGTCAGCAAAAATCTCTTGGGAGTTCTTCTATGTCTAACTGAGCAAATCGTAAGAGGAGGAATCGTGGAAGTACTAACAGACATAAAACCAGAAGAACATCTCAATCGATCACTTTATTTAATTTCTTGCATTAGGAACTCATCTGTTTTGCATACCCCAGCTTGCTCTCCATGAGACACACAGACAGGGAGAGAGAAGCTTGGGGTCAGGGCACAGGGTCAGCCATTTATACAGCACCCCTGTGGCAGCTGGGATTAAGGGCCTTGCTCAGGGGCCCAACAGAGTAGGATTCCTCTGCCAGCCATGGGATTTGAATCAGCAACCTCCCAGCCACAGGCACAGATCCTTAGCCACATAGCCACCACTCTGCCCCCCTAAGAGGCCATACAGCCCAGAGGACCCATCAGGTAGCTAGGAGTTGATTTATCTGAGAATGGCATACAGACTTTTCTTGAAAGAAACCAGGTCATTCCAGACTCCCAAATCCTTTTGGGAAAAGACGAGACTCCTGTTCTCAGTTCTCATGCACTTCCTCATAGCGGAAACAGTCTTATTGTCACAGGAGCCGGTCCAGACTCCCATGTAGGACCCTGTGCAGACGATAAAATCCGGAAGAGACTGGAGAAGGGCAACAGGGAAACACGACTGGATCAGGACTGGGTGACTGACAGGGGGGGCGTGACGGCAGTGTTCCCGTGCCTGGGGCGGGGGGGCGTGGCGCAGGCGAACAAGTCCAAAACAATCCGAAAGGGGAAACCAGGAAGCAGCCCAGCCGGTAAATCCAACCAAACAGAGACAGGAACGGGGACGAGGAATCAGGAACACAGAAGTAAAATCATGACGGAGCCGGGTAATCAAAGCCCCCGACCCAGATGGTCAGGACATTGGGGAATAAGACCTCAGGCTACTCGCGAATCCTGGGAATAGGCAGGCCTTGTGGCGTCCAACTTCCAATACCGAGCCCTGAAGCCCAGAGACGTCAAACTTAAGTAGATAGGAAATAGGAAACAGGTGCATATAATGATGAAACTAAAATACAAAATGGTCAGAGCGCCCTCTACAGGAGGGATGAAGACTGTGACACTTATATTAAAAGATTCAAAATATGAAAGATTACAAACAGGAGATCTGCTTCTTGAGAGACACCAGGGGCTTACGCAATGTGTCTGGGTAGCTTATTCCAGCTTGTTCCAGACTCCAATTACAGTTTGTGTAACAAGGTGTGTACTACTCTCAGTTATAAACACACTTCGCTGTACAGTCCACTCGTGTCTTCTGCTTCATGTTTAGTTGGGTTGGGTTGACTTTGTCAATGCCTTTTAAAACATTTTAAGTTATTCGAATTAAAAGATAACTCCCTTTTTAGCACTGGAATGTATCATGGCACTCTTATGGTGTTAGTGGGACCTGTAGGGGGCGCTCACCCTGCAGCCTTTTTGGGTAGTAATGCCCCATTAAAGTGACGGGGACACTATACTCTTTGAGAGGTGCTGTCCTTCAGATGAGACATAAAACCAAGGTCCCGACTCTCTGTGATCATTAAAAATCCCAGGGTGTTTCTTGAAAAGAGTATGGGTGTTACCGTGGCATGCTGGTCAAATTTCCCCCTGGACTTTACCAATCATGGCCTCCTAATAACCCCCATCTCTGAACTGGCTTCATCACTCTGCTCTCCTCCCACTGAGAGCTGGTGTGTGGGGAGAGTACTGGAGCATCATCCAGGTGGGGCTGCACACTGGTGGTGGTGGAGGAGAGTCCCCATTACCTGTAAAGCACTTTGAGTGGAGTGTCCAAACTATACTATAAAGTGTAAGAATGATTATTATTTTTGGTGGTGGTGTTATTGAAAAAGCAATATCTTAACAGAGAAATTTTCTGTAATATGATGACCAACATATTCCCCATTTTTACAATGAGGTCTTACTGGTCCATTAAGCAATTTTAACAGTAGATCCCCTGCTTTCATTCAACACAATATTACCCTTTTTACATGAATCGTCTTGCCTTAATAATTCCCACATGCTTTCCTGATCCTAACCTTCTTCCCTTCCCTCTGGACATGTATGGTCAGATGACTGCGTGGATGTTGTCAGTTTTCCTTCTCGTCACCGGGTGTTTCCTGCTGGACACTGAGGGTTATCCCGATGGACAAGTTGGGGAGTCGTGCCAAAGCATGATGCCCAACCACAACGGAACAATGCCCCAGAGCTCACCTTCACCGTTCAATGTCACAGCCAGCAAGAGCTGGTTTCACCCTGGAGAGGAGATCACAGGTAAGGGGCAACCTGATGTCTGGGTGATGGCCAGGGAGAGGCAGCAGTTTGAAATCCTAACCCCTGCAGAGTCCTTCCAGCCATCAATTCATCCATTTTCTAGTCACAGCTTCCAAGTCAGGGCTGCAAGGGAGCCAGAGCCTATCCTGGCAAGCAATGGGCATAAGGCGGGATACACCTTGGATGGGACGCCAGTCCATCACAGGGCACACGCACGCCTGGGCCAATCTTCACAGTCAATTAACATACAAGTAGTCGCTGGATTGTGGGAGGAAACCAGAGCTCCCAGAGGAAACCAACATGAACACAGGGGGAGAACAAACTCCACACAGACAGCACCCCAGGAATTGAACCCAGGGCCCCAGCACTGCTACCCACTGTGCCAAGTCATGGTCATTAAATCACTAAACACCTCTGAGATAACAGAAACAATGGAATCTGATACCTGCTTGAGCCACAATACTGCACCAAAATCAAATGCACAGATGCTAAGACTAACGAAATCAGTTAACAAAGCAGGCTTCACTTGTAAAAACATTCTATTCATAATCTTCTATGACTACATTGCTTTGTGTAAAAATTTCTGAAAGTTTCCAACCAGAGTAGCTAATTTGTAGTGGATTTCACCAACATGTGCATGCGCACGCACACACGCACACACGCACACACACACACACCTGTTACTGTTGTGATTTATTCTGCAGGTCACTGCAGACACAGCGTGATTAAGTCTCGAGTGTTTTTTGAAAATCCTTTTCTTTTTTTTAAAGTTACCCTGGAAGCTGAGAATGGAACCTCTTTCAGAGGTTTTCTACTGCAGGCCAGAACTGTCGGGACAAACATGACTTCTGGCTCTTTCAAGATTCTCAACGCGAACACCTCTCAGGGGCTGACATGTAATATCTCAGTGAGTACCAGGGGCTCGTTTGCATGATCAAACTCGTCCTGTGCTTCTGATGTTGCTTTTCCTAGATCTGTGAGCTATTTCTGGAGAGCTGCAACCTGCACTTTAATAATAATAATAATAAAAATATGTCCGTGGCCAAAACAAGGAGCGTGTACATAGCAATACAGAGAAAAAGACAAAATAAAGCACAATAAACAGTAAAAGAAAAAATAAACAAGAACATACATGTTCATAGAGGTAGAATGTAGGGCAATCAGATGTAGGCGCTGGTAAAAAAGGTGAATTTTGAGTTTGCATCTGAAAAGAGTTTAAGAATTTGTCTCTCGAGGAGATGCAGGAAGGTCATTCCATAACACTATAGAGCAGTAACAGAACAGGCAGGGTCACCACAGGTTCATGATGTAGTCCTGTGGGCAGTGAGCAGAGGACCAGTCTCAAGGGCCCGGAGTCTACGGGAGGGAGTGAGAACATGGAGGAGTTTGAAGTATGATGGAACCAGATTGTTTAGAGCCTTGAAAATCAATAACAAGGGTTATCTTGAATATGCGACTTCATAGGCAACCAATGTAAAGCCTTAAGTGAGGACTGTCCAAACAGGATCACTTAGAAACATTGCTAAGACTATACTTGCTTATAACTTAAGTACATTTAAAAAGTGTTAATAGAATTACATGAATGTTATAATAACAAACCCCTGCTATAGCTTAATTGGCTATCAATAGCAAACTCCTAATCTTACCAAATGACTGAAACTTTATTCAAGATTTGGTAAGGAATATATATATATTTTACAGCGTGTAATAAATTAAATGGCACTAATAGACTGTTTAAACACTGTTTTACTCATTACCTCAATTTAATTGTGACTCACAAATCTGGGATAACACTTAATGATGTGACTGATGGATTTTGAAACAATTAAATGATCCTAGACTTACGTTTGTGCACAGAAAGAAGGTTAGTGTATTTTTAAACACGGGCTGATTTGCTCCTTGTCTGAAAAAAATGTCCACTTGACATCTCGTTGCATATGTCTGATCGTTACCATGGCCAGGCTATCCCAGAATTCCCTCTTATGCGTGCGAATTGTGACCCAAGACAACTAACTAATCAGGTTACTAAGTGTAAGAAGCGTTTCATTTTTTCTGCAAAAACCAACATACAAAACTTTAGAGACTCAAAGCCCATTAAGATACGACACAGGGAAAGAGTAATTGTCTCCTCTCTTTATGAGATTCAGGATTGTTGAGAAAAAAAGAATTCTGCTGGGAATTTGTCTTCTGCACTAAAGAAGATACCTCAGTTTTGTGGTGCACAGCAGTTGTACAATAACCAAAATGATATAAGATGATATGATCTAGGTGAGGTGATATTCACCTTCATTTATCTTCAGAAAAATCTTGTCTTTGAGAGGAGGGGGAAAGTTGTATCACCAAAACATTGCACAGTTTCCTTTACTTTCTCCTCGGGTGATCTCCTGCTACTCAGGCAACATGGTTATTACACAACAACAAGAGAGTCATCCAGGAGATACCAGCTGATACCACCTGCATGACAAACCTGTTTAGAAGAATTTTCCACATGAGTCACACATAATAGAGGTTATGTCTCTCACCTTCCTGTGGAAGGGAAATTCATCTGCTCTTAATCTGGTAGATCACAGGGGTTTCTAATCCTGGTTCTGGGAACCCATATGCCATCTGACATCCTAGCTAGATAACTAAACCACTAATTAATCTAATGATAGAATTAATGTGATGTTGCTTTTTTTTGGCTCTTCAGCTTGTAAGAATCTTGTTACTATCTTGTATCATAATTAACCTTACATTTCGAATTTTCCCAATAGAAAAATGAATATGTTAAATTGTTTAGTTGTCCAAATAAGCGATTATCTCTGCGGGATAAGAAATAAATATCCTCCAGTAAGACGCAAAACGTTCCGACGCGTTTATATCTTTGAGAAGATTGCCGCCTAGTGGGCATTTATAGTACTGCTACATGACTACTCTCAAATCGCTGGTTAATTCGCTCAGACCGACGTCCATGACTACCCTTGTCCCACATTCATTTTTAGGGACATTGAAATGACTCTCCCAAAAAAGCTGATTATTCGGTTGTCAATTAAATAATTGAATTAAAATTCAATAAATCCCCAGTCCACCCTTATTCTAATCTAATACTTTAATTTGCAGAAATTTAATCTCATCGCAGTAGAGGCAGTGTTGTGTTGTTGGAACTCATGATGTTATCTAAAGCATTTGTTATTCATTTTAAACATTTTAACTAAGGTTAAAATATTATTTATTTCTGCACGTTAAAATTATTTATCAAGAGGGGTTCAAATCTATGCATAACGTGCGGTAAGGCACAAAAATGATTCTGAGATTGTGTTAAACTCTCGTCAGAGGCAATCATTCTAGACCTTAGAAAATGGTAAATGTAATAGAGTTCTGATTTATTTATTTTTTTTCCCTTCAGAATGATACTGTCAGTCATACATCTTCATTACAGAAGCAATCGATAAACGTTGTGTGGGTGGCACCAGTGTCTGGTCAAATGGAAGATATTGAATTCAGGTACTAGTCTGGTCTTGTTTCTATGTCATTTGTGATTCAGACTGTAAACTGGAAAAAAAAGGCACCAGAATCTGTATTGATTAATCAGCACTCCACTCTGTGAAAACGAATGTGATACAATTGTGAATTTGTTTCATTTACAGTACACACCTGGTGGGAGAGAGATCCACAAATTGAAATGAAAACCCGTTTTCACTTGATCGCATACCCGAAACTTCCAAAACACTCATGAACATCCATAAACGGGGGTGAAAAAAAATGAATCACAAATTTGCAGCCCCTCCTCCAAAATTCATAATCCCACCAGTCAGACAGTAACTTCCTATGGCACTGACAGTAGTGTTTTTATTCTCTACTGTTTTCTCTACTGGTTTTTTTTTATTTCACCTTCTGGCTTCTAACAAAGAGCACTTTTTCATTTGCCTTTCAGATCTACATTTGTCGAATATGAGTACAAATTCTGGGTCGGGGTTAAAAGTAACACCATCACACCGGCCAACGGCACTGAAAACTCCTCTTCCACCGCGCAACCTGACAACCATTCTGCCTCTCCAACTGCTGCAGAGGGAGACTCATACAGCCACGTTTCTACAACTGCTGCAGAGGGAGACTCATACAGCCACGTTTCTACAACTGCTGCAGAGGGAGACTCATACAGCCACGTTTCTACAACTGCTGCAGGGGGAGACTCACACAGCCAGGTTTCACAGCCGGCAGATGGGTCAACCGTCGGCAGCACCCCTCAGAATTCAGGACACGGAAACTGGGCGTCTCCTTCTACCACTGTCTTTCCTGTCCTCGTAGTCCTGACGGCCGCAGGTGCCACCAGAATCACCACCACGGCCTCTCTCTCCGCTGGCACCGGCACCGCGGTCCTCATCTTCGCTGCCATCTTCTGCCCGACGTCCTTATTCCCGGGCATGTAGCTCTGGAAGGACCTCAGGACTCGATTCCAATTCACACCGAAAGCGTTTCTGAAGCGTTTTTTCCATCGTCCGTCTCATGTCTGACTCACGGAACAGACCCGCTTCCATTTTAACCAATGTTTCAATCCACACCGGCTCCGCGAGTCCGTCCGCCAGCGTTTTGTTTTACGCTCCGAGTCTTATTTTATTTCCACTTGAGCGTGAGTGTAGCGTAACCCCCCAAGAGATCCATTCAAATCGCACAAAACTCACACTTTCTATACCCTGTGAACTACATAAACACAACCTACAACAATATTATGCTCATGCTGGGCCAGTGTGGTCCGTTGATACTGTGCAACTTCTCACTTTGTTGTCACAAGCACAATAACTAGTTGATGACGCCGATACAGGTCAAGTATTGTGGTTGTTTAGCCACAAGAAACAGAGATCTGTTGCTTGTCCACCGGCCCGTGTCGGGTTTTAATCAACTACACCGTGTTGTAATTACAACTCGGGTGTTTCTCTCTCTCTCTCTCTCGAATGTTCCGTTGACTTTCCCCATGTTTGAATACGGAAAACGGTCGGGAGTTGGTGTGGATTGGATGGATGGCATCTTACGCTACGCTTCATTGCACTGACTTGTCGCTTCAGGTGTGAATTCGGGGTGACCCGAGTTGGGCTGGACTGGTGAGACACAGCCCCTCCTGTCTCTTCCAACACCACACACACACACACACACACACGTGTGCTCTTCACCACAGAGTCGTTTGGATTTTCGGAAATCATTTTCTAGAACACAATTACACTCACTGTGAAAAAGAGAGTCATACGGTAAAGCTGTATAATCCTGGTCCTGTGGGGCTTTTAGGTCTTTTTAATGCAGATGTCTCTAACCCTCATCCTGTACAGCCCTAATTTAAGATGGCCAACATGACTGTGGCTCTCCAGGACCAGGGTGGGAGACCCCTGATCTAGGATGATCTATAAAACTTACTGGACTAGGGCTCCCCAGGATCAGGGTTCGGGATCGCAAATTTGGGGTGAACTATTGCACTAACTGCTCTCCAGGAGCAGAGTTGGAGACTCCCGAATTAGGGTGACCTATAAAATTTACTGGACTGGGGCTCCCCATGGTCAGGGTTGGAGATTCCAAATTTGGGATGACCCATAAGACTAACTGGACTGGGGCTGTCCAGGAGCAGAGCTGGAGACCCCTGATTTAGGGTGACCTATGAGACGAACAGGATTGTGGATTTCCAGGATCAGGGCTGGAGATCCCAAATTTGGGGTGACCTATCCGACTAACTGGATTGCAGATTTTCAGGAGCAGGGCTGGATACCTCTACTGTAAAGTAACACCATCCAAAGAGCAGGTGGAAGCTGTCAAACCGGTCAGCTTAAACCAGGAATGTGATCCTTCTATACTCTTAAAAGCTGAGCTGGAATGAAAACATGCAGACACACGGGCCTCTCCGGGACTTGGGTCAGACACCCCAGTCTGAAGAATGTCTTAGAGCAGGGGTTCTCGGACCGTGGTATGCGTACCACTGGTGGTACGTGGAGCGCCCCCAGGTGGTGCGCCAGATGACCCTGGAAATCTGTTGCGTGCACTGAAAAATTTAATTTTTGGAATAAAAATGGGATAAAAATGGGAATTTAAAAATGGAATAATTTTTTCATCTGTAATTAACTTAATCAGTTCCAGAAAGCTTGAGACAGATTTTCATATTTTCTATTTTAATAAAATTAGTCTGTGTGTCAAATACACAGCCTACATACTTAGGTACTGTATGTTGATACAGTGCGCGAATACCTGAGTGGACACAAGGGCGACTATGTAATTCTATACCATTGTATAGGAATGCGTGCTATGAACCTAAGTGACCAATTGTATTAAAAGAAGTGATCTTTAGCAGATAGGGAGGTAGGAGGATGTGTGTGATTTTGGAAAACTGCCAATCTTGTAAGCACAGATAGGCGTGATAGATAACAGAAAAAAATGTAGGGGCTGTTCTAGGTTAATTACTTTGAGAAACATACACTGATCATCTCTGTGTGTTTCACTCCCATGTGCGTGAAATAAAAACTTCTTTTAACTTCTGAGACAGACTCCTGACTGTCTTTAATGAGGCAAAGGTGAAAGATTTCTCCAACAGCACCGCATTCACCAACAGAACAATCGATCAAAAATGAATGAACCTCACAAAAAATCCAGGATTATGTCTTGGCTGAAAGGAATAGACGCCAAGAGTTCCGATGCCAACTCCGATACATCAAGAGGAGGATTATACATCAGCCACCGACACTAGCTCTGCTGCTGCCCCTGACACAGACAGCAAGTGTTAGCAAGTGCTCAGTGCTGTTTTTATTATGTGTGAGTGTGTGTGCACGCGCTCATGTTGGTCATTGAGGTTTTCTGGGGTTCCTATGAGAAGATGACTTGGAGGTGGTAAATGGATGCTTTGGTTTGATCAGGGGTGGTACTTGGTCCACAAAGTCTGAGAACTTCTGTCTTAGAGGAAAAGGTGAGGTGGGCAGAGGGGTAACACAACAGGGGTTAAAACAGGTTTTCGAAATGCGGATCCTAGCAACGCCCTCGTGCTAGAAAACCCGTGCAGGAAGTGGAAGGACAGAAGAGAGAACTTGAAAACCGATGCTTAAGGGAGGATCTCGGTAACCCACTAGAGATTACAACGACAGAGGATGGTCGCTAGGCAACGTGACACTGGTCAGAGTCGCTCGGCGGCTCTGGAAGCTCAGAAGCAGTGACGGCGCAACTGAAGCGCATTTCATCAATCTTGTGACACACCGAGCCCGCTATTAAACCATTTTCATTCGGAAAGGCAGCGTCTGAGGGGGTTTGTTTCTCTCGCTAGCCTTTCACCCGGCAGGACGGGTAACGTTTGTCCACGGTAGAACTGTTTTGTGACACGGTCTCACAAGACTCTCTCGCTGCACACCACAGCGAAAGCAGCGCAAAAGGCAATCTGCTCATTTCATATCATTATGATACTAAGATACTGCTGATCGCTAACGAACTGTTGGGATCGCCAGTACAGCTAGAGGACATATCTGATCGGGCCAAAGCTCGACCTGGGTTCTGTAGAGTTAAAGGGGAATTTGTATATTTCGGGGTTAGAGAGAATCTGCATTGATGAGCGCATTTCAAAGCACAACGAACGTAAAATGTTCACAGTAACTGGGAACCCCCCCCCAATTTACATCCAGGTATGCACGGCCACATATTGTATGATTCAAAACAAGGTAACAAAACCTCTGGTGAGGTGAAGCGGCCCTCTGACATTGTGAACAAGCAGGCTTGCGAATCCGTCTCTTTTAATC